AATGAAAATAAGAACACATATTAATTTATACATATAAATAGATATAAAAAAAAAGATTTTACTCGTTGAACTGGATGATCATCTTCAACAACAATAACACGTTTTCCATTCGATTGACCTTGTTGTTGTCGATCACGTTGATGTAATTGTCGTGCAAGTTTTTCATTTTCACGTGTTAAAGTTTCATGATGACTTCGAATTTTTTGTGTTGTCATACCATTTAATCGACCACTAAACAAATCAGACAAAAATTTTATAATATAAAAAACAACAAAAAAAGAAAATAGCAAAGTATTTACTGAGTATCTTGTCGTTCAAATGCATCACTACTTCCTGATGAACGTATGGATGTTTGTGAACCTAATTTAATATGAATTATTATCAATTAAGTAGTTAATTTTTAATCTATTTTTTACCTAAATCATGATTTCGATTTTTAATTCTAGGTAAATTAGTATTTGTTTGAACTCCTAATTTTTGTCTTAATTCATGATTTTCATCTTTTAATTTACGAACTTCAAGTTTTAAACGATTAATAACATTTTCTTTTGAATCTGTTTTTATTAATGGAACATTTTCAATATTTTTTGCACGATTTGCATAACGTAATGTACTTAAACTTTCATTTTCACATAAAATTGATGGTGAAACACAAGCTATCTAAAAAAAATAAAACGAATTAAGAAAAAAAATTAACTTTATAATATTATTAATATTTAAATATACCATTAATGTTATACCATGTCCACCTAAACTGTCTGCTAAAAGTCGAGTTAATTTTGATTCACGATACGGTACATGACCATTTAACTTGGTAGGATCACTTAATGCAGAAATACATGTTCCTAGTAAAATAATTTTTTATTTATTTTCTAAAAAAGTATAAATATTTCTTGTTTTCATTACCAAGTGTTAGTAAACTTTTATTGATATTATTCGTTTCAACAAGTTGTTTGCCTTTTGAATGACTGACTTTCACTTTTTCACTACCTAAAAAAAGACAAAATTGTAAAAATTTTTAGTTACTTGAGGGCGATTTGACATAGACCTAATTTCATCATGTATATCAAAGTAGAAATAAAATAAATTCGACGTATTGACGTTTGGTACTATATAGTTTTGAATTTTAAATTGAGATTCTCTAGTTCGTCTGTAAAACATCACTTAACAACTATGATGAGATCTATGAGAAAACTATATCTTCACGTCTTTACTTTCTGATAAATTTCCGACAAAAAATACAATACAATACTAATTATTATGAAGAGAACTGAGTCGAAAATAACAGCTGAAAATTTAAGATTAATTAAGTTTTTATCTTTGTAATTTAATGAATTTTTTTTTTCTTGAATCTTAAATCAAAAGTTAGATGATGTATTTCTTCTGATAAATATGTATGTCTATCTGTCATAGATTTTTTTCTTTACATAACCTATCCATTGATAATTTAAAATAAATAATATTTACCAGCTAAATCAACAAAAGTTAATTTTCCTTGTCGTGTCATTTGTTCTTGTGAATCCTCATACTCTTGTAAATCTTGTTCAATTTGTATTGAAAGCATAGCATGACTACGACTTGACATATCATTAAGATGATGTGAAGCCATAGCTCGATTTAATTCACCTATATTAATAATAAACAGCTTATGAAATATTATTTTTTGTTTACTTATTCATTCAAACCTTCTTCAAGTATAGTTAATAATTCATCAATTGTTTCAATATATGTTTGATAAAGATTTTCAACATAAAATCCATCTTCAATTGAACCACGTACTTGTAAATTATCTGGATTTTCTGGACGAATTAAATCACGAATCTAATTTAAAAATCTTCTTTTTAATGAAACACAAAAACAAAAAACAAAGATTTTTCTAAATAATTCTACTTGTTCATTATATATTTCACAATAAGCAACACGAATATAATATGGAATATTTGTTTCTTGTGCTTTTTCTCGTAATCGTTGAAACAAATAATTTATGGCACGTGGTGCTATACCAAAATTTTTGGCACGATAATTTTCATCCATACGAAACTATAAATAAATATAATTAAATTTCTATTTTCATATATAAAATACATACAATAGCAGCTCCTCCTGGACCAACCATCGTATGTGTTTTTCCACTGCCTGTTTGACCATATGCAAAACAAGTTGCAACATATCTAAATATATTCAATAAAAACCGTATATGTATTTAAATGTTTTACAATATAAGATACCCTTCAATAGCTAAGTCAACTAAACGTTTAATGCCACTATAATGAAATACTTCTTCTTGTGTTGATCCTTCATCAAATACATTGTCAAAAAAAAATCGACGACTATGTTGACCTCCTTCGGCCTATATTATTAATATTTTTTCTTGATATTAAAATTAATGAATAGAAGAAAAAACATACAATAATAGAATTTTCACTTTCACAGCGTAATACGCTTTGTGGCTCTTTCTCATTTTCAAGTTCACGCTCATTCAACGGCCGAATACTAACAAAAAAAGACAATTGTTAGATACAAAAATAATATTGAACATAACAACTTACCGAACAATAACACGTACGCGATCTTTTTCAGGAACAATAGAATCTGTTGCTTCATTTCGATAGATACTAAATAAAAAAAAAAATAGACATAACTTTTATTGTTACTTCTTTTTATCAATCACTTTTGTAATCATAAAAATTATATAAATATTTATCGAATCAAAAAATATTTTATTAACTTAAATATTTCTATCATAAGAAGGTAGACTTCATGTATTTATATATACCTATCATTGGTTGAGAGACTTTTTTCAATAATCGTCCAATTGGCAAGTGATGAATTACTCGAATCTCTTTGAATATCACGACTAATATTGTTATTATTTGATGATGGGATTTCAACAATTTTAATTGTAGGTATCGTGTTAGATGTTTTCGTTCGTGTTAATGTAGCATTCTTAGTAGGATTAGTTTCTATAACATGTATACGTTCTGGTATATCCAGTTCAGATGGTGATGGTTCAGTAATTATTATTTTAATATTATTATTTGATGGAATTTCAATATGAGGTATATTGGAAGAAGACGAATATAATGGATGTCCTTCTATAGAATATGTCTCAATCGGTGACTTAGGCATTTTACGTTTATTTTTTCTTTATAGGAAATAACTCGGAACAGAAAAAATATTTTTCAATACTTTTTTTTTTCTCTACGAGTTACTCATACGTTATATTGTCATAACAATTCAGTTTTTTTTTCCTGTTTTATGAATTGCTCTTAATAATTATTGATCAATGTTAATTTCAATCGTTTGCTAATATAAGAGAAAAAAAAATCATTCTATAAATCCATCTTTTATAAAACAAATCTTCAAAGTTTTCAAAGGTAATAATACGTTCGCATGATTTTAGAATAAAAGGAAATTTCCAAATAACATGTTTTTTTTTTTCTTTTCATGATTAGAAAATAAGAATTTTTTTTTATTGAACTATTGATGTAAATAAAAATGGTATGATTGCGTCTAATTTACTTTAACAAAAGACTATTAATAGGAAATTCTAAAGTACCCTATGGCAATGAACTGAAAATTAATTTACAATAACAACGCTATTTTTTTTTTCTCAGCTCATACTTTGCCGATCAATAAGTCGATGTTAGCCCGAACAGAAAAGAAAATAGTCGTTTTTTAAACGACGCAAAACAAAAAAAATTCAGTCAAATGATAGATGTAAAAATAAAACAAAAATAAAAGGATATCAATTCAAATTTATACATAAAAATAATATTTGTTTTATCTAGCTAAGTAAATAACACCAATAAACTTATTACTAAACTCACGTTCTCTGTCTCTGTGCTGGAGCAGAATGATTTGGTTCATGTTCATCATAGTATTGTGCTGATGGTTGTTCGTATTCTTCAGATTTTTGAGGATCTTGTACATATTCATAACCACCATTCGGTAGTGATTTTGGATAATATGGATAATAAACATAGTCATCATATTCATCATTTTCTGTTACTGATTGTTGCTCTTGTTTAGTTGCAGCTCGCTTCGATGAAGACGTCATTTTACCTTCAATGTACTGTTATAATTTTATTAAATCACCATGTGTATGTGCATATATGTCTTTCTCTCCTTTTTTTTGTATTGCTGCCATAACAAATATATGTTTATACATGATTCTTCACAAACGAAAATTTCAACCAACTCTTTCTCTCATTTTTTTAGTCGTTTTTTTTTCTTTTATGTTGTTCATAAAATAAATTCGATTGGAAAAAAGAAACGAAAGAAACGAGTAATAGAAAGATGACGAAGAAAAAATAAAAGAAGAGCATTCGAATTATTTGCAAAAAAGAAACCTTCGCTTTAAAAAAAAAGTTGTTGTTTACATAAAAAACGGAATTACTTTTAACGAATAAACATTGCCAAATGAAGTGAAAGAAACTCTACATAGCAAAACAATGTAATCAATGTATACATGCGAAAAAAAAAAAAAGAAAGCAACTGGGCTTGGCCGGGGATTGAACCCGGGACCTCTCGCACCCTAAGCGAGAATCATACCACTAGACCACCAAGCCATGCTCTTGCTTCATACGATATCGTTCAATATACAAACAAAACTAATAAAGCTGGCAGCAAAGAATTCTACTTTTTCTTCCATTTTATCAGTTGATCGATTAATAACTATAGAAAAAAAATGAAATACTTACTCTTACAAATCTTTTGAATGTTCACAATACAAAAATACGCAACAAAATTTCAAGATTTCTCTGATCAATGTTTTTTTTCTGTCAGTTAGTTCACTATATTCATATATGTATTTAGCATTAGAACTGAATAAACAGTTCATCAAAACAGAATAAAGAAGGGATACATAAAGGTAAATAAAACACATGTCCAAACATAAAAACGACAAAGAGTAATAGAAAAGAGAAAAAAACAACTATTGAGAATGTATCCAGCATTTTATAAATGCAATTATAATTTTTAATATAAATAATTTAACTTTATCCAGATCCTGGAATTGAATTTGATTTACGTCGAATAGAAACATTCGATAATACAGATGATATTGATTTTGTTGATGGATTTTGTGATTCTTTAGATGAATTTTTTACTTGAGCTTTTCTATCACGTAACCAAGCTCGTACATTAAATTTTTTCGTTAATATCGATGAAGATACACGTGGATTAGTTACTAATATTTTTGAATTTGATAAAATTTTATATTTTAATCGAAATTGTAATGGTGATAATTTTTCTAATTGATTTGTAATACATTCAAATAAAGCATTATTATTGTTAACAAGTATAAATGCTGATGATTCATAATATGTATTTAATAATGTACGATTTGAAATAAAATGTGTTAACCATGAGGCAAGTTCATGAAAACTAAAATAAAAAAAAAATTATATGAAAAAATTTTATTTTTGGTTTTCGCTTTTTTACTTGAGTAAATGATAAATAAATGAATTAAATTTTTCAATCCAATCCATAGTAAATGACAAGTCAATTTGTGCTTTTATTTTCGCTTCATTGAATCGACTCGTTGTTGGCATTGTTAATTCAACTAAACGCCATAAATTATTTTTTTTTGAAAATAAAGAACCAGAACATGATCGTAAACCATCGTCAAGTATGTCACGCAATAATGGACATAAATCTTGACGAAGTATTCGATCTAATTCATAATTTGTTTGATTATTTAAATAATAAGACTAACAATAAAGTGATAGAACTTTAAAAAAAAAAAAGAAAAACTTATAGATTCTACCTTTGGATCATTACATTTTATTTCTAATATATGAAGAATTGTATTTGCAAATGCATCAATTAAATATTTATCATTGTTATTATTAAATGAAATTTTTTTTGTTAGATTATCTGATACATTTTCAATAATATTTATCAATTGATCTTCATTTTTATCATCATCAGATAGATTAAATTCATTTGGTGGACTATCGATTAAATATTCTTGTGGTATTAAATCAAAATAATCTAAAAAAACTAAAACTTGAAAACAAACATAATAATCAAAAATTTATATTCAATACCGTCATAGGAATATTTCGGACTTATTGATGATGTAACAAGCCGTCGAACAATTTCATCACAAAAACTAACATTTTTCTTTGTTTGAAGATCATGTTCAGATAAAGTACAAGTTTTATTTCTTGTTCGAAATTTTAATACAAGATTTTGTTCATGTGATGATGTCGTTGGTACTGAAGAACGTCTAGTTTTTGATGTATCGTTTTCATTATGAACACATTGATCAGGTAATGTAATTATATTTTCAGTAACATCAACAGCACGAACATTTACAGCTGATGGTGAATTTGTTGATTGTGTAGTTTTAGCGCGTTTTAAACATGATTTAAGAGGATATGGAGATGACAATGTTTGAATATGATGTGTTTGATTCGTTGAACTATTACTAAAATAACCACTACTTGATATACTTGAACATGTTGATGAAAATGTTTCAGTTTCTTCTGTAGATGTTTTATTTGAACAAATTTTGCTATTTGACAAACGTTTAATTTCTTTCTGTGTTTGTATTTTTTGAATTGTTGATAGTGATGGATGAAATGTTGTAGATTGATTAGGTCCTTTAATACTAAAATAGAAAATTGTATATGTGGCCTTTTTTGCTAATGATAATGGTTCCGACAATGTGCTTTTCATCGCTGTACAAAAATGATTTGTATGATTTGTAACTGGTGCTAATGATGTTCGATTTTCTTTAGCATAATATCTAAGAAAATCAAGATTTGGTAATGAATGATGAGATATAGAAGATGAATGACTAGGATTATTCAATAGATGATTAACAGTTTTCGAACTAGTAACAGTAAAATTATCGTTTTCACAAAGACTAATTGATGTTTGAAGACATTGATCAACATTATTTTTAGTTTCTTCTTGTTTTATTTTAATCTTTGATATTGAAATTTGATGTTCATGGTTAATGGAATTTGAACATGATGAAGATGATGATGATGATGATGATGTTAATGAATCACATGTACTTTTATCACTAAAATTATCATATAAACGACATGGATGTTGTTGAGATTTTCTATGTCGAAATAAACGATATAATTTTAATGGATTAGATGAATTATGATTTTTATGGGATATATTTCTTGATGATAAATAACTATCATTCATAGATTTTGTTTTTATTTCATACCATGATGTTCGTGTTCGATCCGATAATGATGTTATATTATCTGAATTGAGATGTGTTGACCATTGAGAAAATTTTTTTTCTTGACAAATATTTTGTTGATTATGTTCAAATGCAAGATAATGATAATTATAATTTTCATATAAATCCCAATGAAAACCTTCATATTGACTATTATGAAATGGTGATAGATTTTTTCGATAATGACTTCCATATGATGAAAATATTGATCGATAACCACTAAGCCAAAGATCATCATCATCATCATCATCATTGTCATTTTCATCAGGATTATCAATAGATGATTGATATTCTTGAGATTCTTTTTGTTCCATTGATAAATCAACAATTTTTAAATGATTATCAATTGAATCAAGTAATTGAGAAACTAATGTTGTTTCATAAATTTTATTGAACATAAAATCAGCTATGAAAAAAGAAAATAGTACATTAATCGTTTTCTTCTTTTACTTTTTTATGTTCAAAATTTCAATGTTTATGATGATAAGCTTGACAAATATAATCGAAAATGTAAATCTTATTATAAACAAGTCAAAATAATAGAAAAAAAAACGATGCAAGAATTTATTGTAATGTTTAGATAATAAAGTATAAGATTTGACTTGTTATTTTTGTACTTGTCAATAAAAATAAATGTAAAGATCGAGCATATAAGTGATGATAGAAAGCAAAGACGGATATGCAAGGCTTTTCATGATGACATTGACTTTTCTTTCGATGACGAATAATGAAGGAGATGAGAAAGGCGAACCGAAAGACGATGAGAATTAATGATGAGCCTGCACATGTTTTCTCAAATAGTTATTTTGACAAATGTAAACCTTGAAATGCTTGACTACACCCAGACACATACAGAATGAAGAAAACTGATTAAAAAAAAAAGATATACTTAATAAAACATGCTTTTCCTATTTACTTAGTTATATACATTTTGGTAATCATACTAACACTATATTGTTCTTTTAGAAATACAAGACTAAATACTTAAGTAAAGTGATCAATCATAGACATATCTTCATTCATGCGTAAGTTAAATACACGGTTCAAGCTTCTTTTATTCTCTGTCATATATTACTACTCGTGTCAAATATGAGACATCTACTATCAAACATATATTTTTCGTATGATAGATAAATCATATTCATATATGATTTAGATTTGTTTATATATCTAACCCCAAGGATAGAAGACAAAAAGTTCCCATATGTATGTATAGATGAACGATCTTTAACTTTTTCTACTCAAATATTTTCATTTATTTTGTTTTTTGTTTTAGCATTAAATGACATTAATCTAGACAACTATCTAATTAAAAACAAAAAAAAAAGTTTCTCAATTACTCAACTGAACTTTCTTACTTTAATTGAGTGGTCTCGATAAGTGTGAAAGAGAACAGCTGCTAATCTAACGATGATGTATATATACATTCAATTTATACTCGTCTATTATAATTAATAGAGAAATGAGAAAGAGAGCTTCTACAATAGTCGCCACCTGGTACTGTCTGATTACACAATTGAGTACATTTATTAAATAGAAGAAAGAACTTACTGATTGTTGTTGATTAATCTATATGAATGACATTAAACTGTAGTATATATCATCTGAGGTCAAACATAGAAAAAAATTGACATGATCAATTGTTTCTCTATATGAATGTGTATCTTCTTGTCAATGCTTGATTCTTTTTGACTAGGATGAGAAATTTAGGATGTGCACGTTGTTCTAACCATATACAATACAAAAAGAAACAGTAATAGAAGAAGAAAAAAAAAAGGAAAAACGAGGAAGCGAAGAAAAATCGACATTAGACACTAGTAACACATCATCCATGCTTTAGCCGCTTGATTCAATCAAGAGACAATCTATTATGTGTTCTCTTCTTTTTCTCTTCTCACTCCCTCGTACAACCACTAATAGGTTTATCTTAACCCATTCTTTCTTTTCTTTCTTTACGATAAATTTGGATCGGATGTCCAGCAACACATTCTTGTACTTTGGTATGAGGCATTTTGTAATTCATCTATCGAAAATGATGCTGAGAATAACTGAGAATATTGTTGTTCAATCATCATTCTCTTCTCTTAAATCTGTTATTTCATAAGAGAAGAAGAAGAAAAGAACAAATATACATCTATCTTCTTGTCTGTCTAGAATAAACAGACAGGAAATCGAGTCCATTAATCTCTAGTATTTCTTTAATAACCAATGTATCACTTGTTATATATTATATAAATGGACACATGTGTTAATTCTAAGAAAAAAAGCCATATGATGATAATCTTACTCGAATGGTTTTCAAGATACTTTGTTAACATATATATGACTATCAAATGAAGTACAATATTGAGTTTCAATCTTTTTTTTTTATATCCACCATTTGCAAGGTTTTTCTATTCATCTTGACATCATTTCTTTTTTATTCACCTGCTGTGTTAATGAATCAGTAGTAGCAGTAACAAAATAGACCATTAAACACGATGATACAGGTTGAACATATATTCAAAGAAACAAAAGTAGTATTAAATGAATACTCGTTTCGTTTCTATTCATTATGAAAATAAACAAACAATTTCTCAAGTGAAATAGACATTGACCAAATATTGATTCATATTTTTTTCAGAATAAAAACACAAACTACAATAATGATCATCATCATCATCATCATCATCATAATCATCATTAGTTTTCAGATCATGATTGACAAATATACAAATAAAAGAAACTATGGAATAGCTGCTGCGTTTGATTTGCCATCGTTTAAATTGTATTTTACACGAATTTGATCTCGTATTGCTTGACGTTCTGTTTCAGCTTGATCAAATTGACGTTGTCTTTCAGTCTTTTGTCTTTCATGTTCTGCTTCTTCTCGTGCATATGCTTTTCGTCGTGACCATTTGGCACATTGTTCACACTGTCGACATAAACAACAAATCTAAGCATATAAAATAAAATGATGAAAACTAAAGCTAAAAATAATTTAATTTATTTGCTTACCAAAATGAGTACAACAAATACAACAACAGCTACGACAACCACTATTACTGCAATAAGAGCATTTGAACTCAATGCAACCATTTTGAATAATAAAAGAAAATATAATCTAAAACCTTAAACAATTTTTTAATAAAAAATGTTTCATAGTTATTTCCACGACTTTATTTAAAGAAAAACAGGGAACAGGAAACTTCTGACTTTGTTCATGACTCATTCTTTGTAGATATGAAAAAAAAAATATAGCTTAACATTTTTCTCAAGGTTATAAATTTCTTGTCTTAGTAATGGCATTTTATGTGAGAAAAATAACGTTCATATTAAGTCTAAAAAAGAACTATTTTCTTTGCTGTATGTGAAATAAACTTCTCGCCATTTGTTTCTACCTACTCACGCCAACTAACTACCTGACGACAGAATTTTCAAATAAAAAATCATTTTTTTTTCATTTCTACTTCCATAGCTGGTTTTTTTTTCTTGTTCTTCAGAAAAGCAAAGCGGAAAGTTTCTCATTAATATAATAATGAAAATATGTCTCACCATTAAATAGATGATTCATCAATCGACTCATACTCAAAAACAAAAAAAGAATTGGAGACATGACAAACTGCAATGCACAGTATTTGACGAATGAGTCGAATAAGAACTGCGTAATCGAGTAGAAAGAGAATTGAGGAGGATACGTTATTTTTTCTTTTTTGTTAATAAAAAGATTTAAATCACAAATGAAATATTGACATTAGACAAACAAATGATTTTACGCTTCCTTTTAGTCAATATAAAGCTAGAAAAAAAGAACTTTATCGAAGAAGTTTAGTATTTTAAAAATCTATGCTACTATAATTGAATGGAAGCATTTCGATATTTGAGTTTTGTTGATGATTTAATTAAAAGAAAAAAACTTTTATTAGCTTATCACATAATAAGACATGTGTATCAAGTGACTCTGAACACCCTTGTAAAGAAATTATAAAGGAAGATGTTTTATAAACAATGCTTATGATATGTTATAATTAATTAGAATCATTTTATCCTATTGAGAACAAGGCTATTAGTCTAGACCATAATGAATACTAATGTTTGTGACGAATTTACTATAATACAATGAAAACTCTCTATGTCATAGAAGCGATATAATTGAAGACATTATAAACAAAATGAATCAAGTAGATTGTGTATTGAGAGTATTTTATATATAATAATTAATTGTTTCTTCTAGTTTTTATGTATGTACAAGGATGAATTATATCATTCATTCTGTTTCAATTAGTTGAATCTTTGAAATACTGTCTTAAATAGATATGTCATATGCAGATAAGAGTTTTGTTCAAGTCAAAGCACTTTAGTAGATTGTTGTAACAATTTTACGTTGAGCCAATGAAATAAAACAAATGGTTTAATATGATGAAGCAAGTTCAACAGTTTCGGGAAATTATGGAGATTTTTCTATAACATCAAGTAATTGAATAATAGTATGAAATAGAAAAATGCTGGTTTTTTGCTTTTATAATTGTAGCAGTTGATAGCTTGATTTGAGAAATTTGATCATCAACTGTGAAGTATTATACTTCGGACAGTACATGGTTTATTTGTGTCATGAATGGTTTCTTTGCTAGATTACATATTAAATAATGTTTTTATAACAAATTCGACATGATATCAGCTGTGGTGGATTTTGACTTAATTTTCTAATAATTGTACGTCTATATTGTTGTTCAAGAGTGTGAATGTAGAATATTCCCAACTCAGATTCAGATCCGTACTAACGCCCACGCTCTATCTTCTTCCAAATAATCAGTAAAAAGTTAATCCTCACAGAAGAAAACATTAATTGAAATATATTTTCTATTTAATTAATGGACTATAAATTATGTAAACCTATTTTAAAACATTTCGTCTTGTCTTCATTATTCAATTTTAGAACAATATTTTTCAGTTCTTTTTATTCATTTGATTAAATACTAAAGATATTTGCATGAAAAAATCTCTTATTGCTAACATATCCATTTTTTGTTCTCAGGTACAATTAGAATATTCTGTTGATCATTTCGATTGTGAATTATTCGACTTGTTGCAATGAATGGCATTAAAGTTGATCTTTTCGTTTTGTATCAGAAACAATAGCTTTTGCAATTTATGCTTCGGTCTGATTAAGTTTCAATCGTTTAATATAATCTCGAATTTCTTCATCAACAAATTTTGTAGTGTTCAAATGACGTTTATTGATGTTAGATTGGACATAATATAGCAAATATTAGGTAATGAAGATCTATTTACTTTTTTCTCTCATATTTGATATAACGAAAATCAAATAATTCATTTTTTTTTAACACATCAATTACTTTTCTATAAGGATAAAAGAAAAGTTATGAGTTCGCATGAATTCTCTTACTAATATTTTCAAAAAAAAAATGACCTACTCTTTTCATGGAAATGAGAGGTTATTTGAAGACAATGCTCATTCTTTTTATTCGTAGTTAAATGGCTGTCATTTTTCTTAGACGAATAAAACTAGATATGATAACATTCCACTACTTATATAATTCAATATCAATGCATATTTAATTTTATCATTGATATTATATTTAATATTATTTTCATAGTTATTGTCTTTCATATTCAAAGATGCTCTTAATGATTAGCAAATACAAGAGTGTGGGAACATAAATGACTTGAGATTCTTAGAAAAATTAATCCTAACCTTTTCTTTTCGCTTGATACTGTACGAAACAATAGTTGTAAGAAAACATTCAAATGAATTTTCTCTAATGATTGTTCTAGTTTGACTTATATCTTCTTTAGGTACAGTCATGTGAGTTTTTCCTTGTTGACGTGATCACGTCAATGTATTTTTGCCTGTGATTGTTGTCTCGTCTTGTAGTTATATGTCACACATTTTCCATTGACATACATTGACCGCTGAAAGTTAAGAGAAGAAATTTAATAGTTGACAAATTTTCTCATTTATAAGATATTATTGGTTTCGTGAACTCAGTTGAATATTGATTAGTTAAATTCATAAATTAAATCACAGCAAATATTGAGTCTTGCCTACTTGAATATTCTTCATGGTATTTCCAAATTTATGTTATTTTTCATACACGAATGTTCAAAAATGAAACACTGTCTTTTAGTAAATATAAAAGCAACACAAATATGGGAAAAACTTTTTAAGCTATCATTCAACACATTCTTACCACTCGTCAAAAAGCCTTTTTGGTCGTGACCATATTTGGCACTATTTTAAGACTGCTAACATTTTCTGCGTGGCCTCAGCCTCTTTTTCTTTTCGGGCACAATGCAAGTTGAACATAGACAAACTCTATTGTTAAACAAAAGGTTTTCATTGTTTCAAATGAAAAGAATATTTAAGTAGCGTTCATGCTCTTCATTCTTAATAGCTAGCTTCTTCGGTTCATTATTTCAATTGAATATTATTGCAATTGTCGTATTTCCAGTTGATTTATAGAGTAATTTATTTGGAAACAGAATTAGTATACAATTATATGGAATTTTGAGATAATTGAATTATGAAGAAAACAAGAAATGTCTTGAAGGAAGAATTCAATCATATTTTAGCAGGAAAATATGGACATATATTTCACTTGAAACTAACTCAAATTTTCTCATAGTTATATGAATTTATCTTCTATCTTAAGACACTCCATATTTTCTATTTAGTTATATAGTCTTCTTTTCTTCTCTGATTGACGACCTCGTAAAACAGAATAACATCAATGTTTTGTTTTGTTTTGTTTTGTCTAAAACAAATACAAGTTGGTCCAACAGACTGATTATAACCAATGGCTATTTTTTGCAAGTCATCTTTTCGTCATTGAAAGTGTTTTCTTTACAAAAAAAAATATACTGTAAAGACTTATAAGAATAAATATATTCGATAATTGACGTGTTAACTTAATTTTCATATCTCAATGATGAGATACGATTTGTTTGTTTTTTTATTTCAAAACTAATATTTACTATAAAATTATTGTAAAACTCCCCAAATATACATTTTGATTCATTAATAAATTTATTCTTTTGTGTTTTTTTTTGTTGAATAAAACAACAATATAGTAATTAAAAAAAAACCAAAAAATATACACAAACATTTGATAATATTGCATTTAGTTCATATGATTGTTTGAACTCTTAATAGACATGAACCATTCCATAAAGAAATGTCCAAAACAGTACATAAGTAAGTAAACCATTAAAAAATCCATTTATAAATATATGTTTTAAACTAGTAAAAAATTTTCGATGCTCATTTCTAATACACAAATAAATCAGAAAACTAAGAAAAACCATTGAAAATGCATAGAAAATAAATCCTTTATATGATGTTAAACCAAGAATACCAGCTACACAACCGGATAAAGCACTAACAGATGTACGACATTGTTCCAGACTATTTTCATTAAAACGAACAGCTACTTCACTATATAAAATAGGTTCTATATTTCGAACATTATTCGGTTTTGGTGATGCGGATGATGATGATAATGATGATTTGGAAGATGTTGTTGAACGAGAATTAGTTACTGTACGACGAATTTGCATTTCATTATTAGCCAACATGATTTCTTTCAATTATAAGAATTTAAAATAGATATACATCTAAAAACACAAAAGGAAAAAGAAGAATGTTTTGTTTCGAGAATATCATAGTTTTAGTAAACAAAGACAAACGATAGATATTCACTGGATTAGAAAAAAAAAATACACAAGAATAAAAAAAAAAAGAAAAGAGATAAAAGTAGTCCATTATTTAAAAAGTGTTTACGAAGCTGCACGTTTATATATATAAAGATAAGCTAAATCTTTTGGTGGATGTTCAGAAAATGCAACAGTTTCATCATTAAATATAACCCATCGGCCATCTTTGTGAATATGTGCAACATAATGACCACATGATGTAGTATTACCAATATGTGAAATAAATGCAACGAGACGATATTTACCAGGACCATCATGATAATGAGGAGTTGTTGAAGGTGACTGTGCAGAAGGTGAAGATTGAGGTAAAGATTCCATAAATCTATGTAATGTTGAATTATCTTCTGGATTACTAGATGCCCAATCAACAGCTGCTTCGACATTATTATTTGTTGTTGCTAATGCACGAACACTATGTGCACGAGAAAAGCCCATTGAAATAAGTATAGCAATACTTTCTTCATCGGCCTAAAGTGAATAGAGAAAATGAAAAATTAATTTTTATTTTTCTTTCAAATTTTAAACTCACAGTTGATGCTTGATACGGTTTATCAAAGTCAGAATCTGATTGATGTTCGAATACCCAATTCATTGCTGCTTCAATGTTATTATTTCCCGTACTAATTAATGCTTTCTTACAACCTTCAGTTGAAAAACCCATACTAACAAGTTGTTCTAAAAGTACTTCATTGATTTGTGTATTCGATGCTGACGTAACTTTTTCATTATCATCATCTAAATAATTACAAAAAATAACGAGAAGAACAAAAAATATGATAAAGTTTAATTTTTGATTTTACCATCTAGCATAAGTTTTTCACCAATTTGTAAACCAGTTGCACGTAATGAATTAATATCAATTTCATCAGGTATTTCCATTGATACATCAATTTTTCTTGGTGTCCAATCATCATTAAATGTATATTTTTTTAATTGAATAAGAAGATAATCGGGAAATGTTAAAAATCGTTGTGTTCTTCGAATAGTTGCTTTTGGTAGATTTCGATTTATTTTAAAATCTTCAATTATTTCTGGTTCAGCCCATCGAGCAATAGCTTGTGTAAGTGGAACAATGGGACGTACAATTGGTAAATCATTCGTTTTATGTCCTTTTTTTTCCATATCTTCTTTTGTTTTATTATAATGAAGAACTTCATGCATATTTTTAGCAGCATCTAATGGTATATTCATTCGAAACATAGTATCATTTCGAGTTAAATATCGAACTTGAGCTGTTTCAGGACAATAAAGACGTTCTTCTAATTGAAATTGAAAACATGTACTTGGATCAAGTGATGCATCAGGTGTTGGATCATTTAAACAATGTTTATGTACTTGTTCAAGAAAATATTCTAAAAATTCTGCAGCATCTTGTTGTTGTTTAGTACCGAATTCTGGATGGCCATGACCAATTAATGAACGAAACATTTGTGGTCGAACAATTGATGGTGGTGTAAATGATAAATCCCTATTATCAGGCATTTCTCGTGAATAAAGACCAGATAATAAACCGAAAGCTAATTTAGCTGTTTGTGCATTAAAATCATTTACTGGATCTTTAGCATGATCAAAATAAAATTCACAATGCTTATAATATTTCTCTTGAAAATCTTTTATTGTAAATAATACTTGCATTACAGAATTCATATAACATGAATTTCCTAAATTTCTCATTCCAGTATAGCCTAAAAAAATTCACATAATAAAAAAAGAAAAATTTATATTTACAGAATGATGTAAAAGTCAGTTAATCAACAATGAAATTATTTCGATCATAATTTAATCAAATTGACTGATGTTTAAGAATTATTTTGATGTATCATGATTGACTTCGATATAGAAATTCATCCCACTGTCTATTCATAATAATTCCTAAAAAAAAACTCTCTCGTTTGTTGGATTTTTTGTTCTCTGAGATTCCAATTTTCCAATAAAACCTTAATTGCAAATTTTATGTCTTGAAACTATGTATCAATAAAAGCTTCAATTGAGAAAGCCTGTATTTCTATGTAGACATCAATCATAATACATGAAAACGATTCTGTTCAATATTTTTCTTAAGGATATGAACAGATTGAAAAATCATCGTTTTTTTCTTCAGTGGAGTTCCAGCGTTTTTATTATTATTTTTCTTCTTCAACTCCCAAAAAAAACGCGAAAATTTGTTCTCCAATCCTGGTGTCCTTACAACACCCCTTTGTCATCGATAAACAAATCAGCCTATTTGGTCAAATTATGTAGGAAGTATTTAATTTTTTCTTCGGTTAACTGGCTTCTTGGCTATTATGTATATATTAATAATTTACCTGCTCCATGGACAGGTTGTAATTTTGAATTAGCTTCTTCAATTATGGATGCTTCACCATATTTTTGATTTATTTCAATTTCTAAATCAGCCATTGATCGATCAGTTTTTTCCATATTCATCATATTAATTCCCCAATGTGATAAATGAATAGCGAGATTAGGATCTTCAACCATATCGTCTTCATCATAAGAATAAACATCTGCACCCTTACTAGTTATTGTTCCTATAATACAAAGAAAAAAGAAAAACTTTCAAAATAAAATAACACAAACAAGAAGATTCTATTATTACTAACCAAGTTTAACAGCTAATGGATATTTTGTTTTATAATAATGTTCAACTGCATGATTATTTCCACCAGTACCATCAAAAAATTTTCTCCCACATAAAATCGATCCATCAGTCAAATTTAACCATAAATTATCTTTTAAATCACATTGTTCACATTTCCATCCATTTGGTGGAATTTTACGTTCATTATTTAATTGTTCTAATGTTTGAGCATGTTTTGTTATTTGACGAATTTCTCCATTCCATGTTGCATTCATTGCTGCACGTTCTTCTTTCAAAAATGCTGATTCGGCAGCAATAATAGCATCAGCTGATTTCTTGACATGTTCAGGTAATTTATCAGCTTCTTCTGGATAAGCAATAATTATATTTGGATGTACATAAATTGCATATTTTTCTTCAAATGTAAATCGTTTTGATCCATTGACATCAAATCCACCTTCAATACCAATAGCCATTTTTGTTACTTTCGTTGGTTCAATATTCGGATCAATTGGTACTGGTTTTCGTCGTCGTGATATATGTAAAAAGACATTTTTACCAGGATTAAATTTACAATGTCTTGCAACATGATCTTTTCCAAGTCCACGAAATGTTGACATACAAATAAAAAGTCCATTCTCAGATTCAGGATTATCAAATGAATAAAGACATTCATCTTTATATACTTTATCATTTGCATCAGGTATACGAACATTTTTATAAATATCCGCCATAATGTTTTTCTTTTCTATATCTGAAATTAAAATGCATGATTTTGAAATTTTTATAGATGAGATTCTAATACTGATTTATAAAGATACAAATGTACCAACGACTAGACAAATATTTAAATTGCGACAAAGAAAAAGAAAAAGATTATTTATTTATATTTTTGTTTTGTTAAATGTTATTTGTTTATCAGTTATTTCAAATTGTTCTCTTTTGCAATTTGTTAAATGCCAGTTTGTTTGATAATGAACAATTATGTTCATTTTATTCATTATTATCCTCTTCTTCTACTTGACTATGTACATTTTCTTCATCAGATGATGGTAAACTTTGGTTTTGATCAATATTACTTTCATCTTCACTAGGTGATTTTGATGCAGAACAATATTCATCATCAGTCTAAAATTTAATAGAAATAATAAAAAGTTTTTATTCAAAAATTTTAGTGTAACCTTTGGAGATTTATTAGCATTTTTAGTTATGATGTTAACTTTTTCTGAAGCCATATCAAGTGCAGTTAAAATTTTACACATTTGAGCTTCTGTTGAAGCAAGACGTTCTTGTAATTGAGTAATTTCCTTATTATCTATTAATAATAAACATGAAAAGTTGAATTTATCTTATTATAAATGACGACAAAAAGTTTAGAGAGTTCAGTATTTTTGACTTTTTCTTTTTTCTTCAACGATAACAAATCAGAGATAAGATCTGATTAGTTAAAACAATCTTCTTTCATGGAAAGTACTTAATAAATTACAATCGGTAGATTTGTATAAAAGGTCTCTGGAGAACTAGTTTGGTGAATTTTATCAAAAACATCTTTCCAACAAGCTCATCTAATAAGAAAAAACATTTCTAAACAAAATAGACTGTCTCTGATCTATCTACAACGACCTACACTCATTCTAAGAAAGTGCCCAATATGTAAAGCACAGGAAATTCATGTAAATTTTCATAAAAGCAACTAAAACAAAACCTATTGCACAATGATTATTGTTCTGTACAGATTGGTTGTGGACAGCTTACGGATATCTTATTTTATTCACAAATTTTTTTTTCAAATATTAGATGAACTTGTTTACGAAACATTTTTGATAGAACTCGCAAAAATTGGTTTTTCAGAGAGACCTTTCACTCAAATCTGCTAATCAAAATTTGACAAGTATCTCTTTTGATAGGAAATCTTTCCAATTAGTCAAACATTTTATGTGATTGGTTTTAGCTGTTATACTTTTGGAAAAATTATTGCATTTCTAACTTTTTTTTGTCGGCATTTTACTTACCTAAACTATCTCGATTTTCTTTTGTAACCAATTTTGAACTAATAAATGATAAAGATTTTTTCATTTCTTCAAGAGCATAATGCACTAGAAATATTTTATTTACAACAAAAAATATCTAAACATGAAAATAAAAATATACTTTGTCTTTGTTCTGACGTCATAGCTTGTTCAGCTTCTAATGCTTTTTGTTTTTTAGCTTTCAAAAATTCAATATAATCTGGATCTAATCCTATAAAAAGAATTTTTTTTTTTGTTTTTTGCTAACAAATAATTAAATATAAAAACAAAATAAATATACCAGCATAGAGATCTTCTTTATTATCTTCTTCTTCACTATCTTTATCAAGTATATCATATTGATGTTTTCGTTTTTCACTATTCCATCGAAGATCAGTATTTAAATAACGTTTTTTACGCTTTTTTTCATCTGAATCTTTTTTTGACCAATACTAAAAACAAAAAACCAATCAATTCAAAAAATAATAATTCACAATATATTTCAAAATACTTTGCAACATGTATAAATAAAAAAAACTCCAATACCAACAGTATACATTGGTAAGGCAAGTGTAACTATAGATTTTGAACTACTAGGATCAGATGATGTTTGTTGCTGACTATTAGCACCTGGATGATGCATCCTCATACTTGGATGTGCACCACGCATATGTGGTGGTGTACCCTATATTATAGATAAGATTTAATTATGAAACTATGTAAAATGTGAAATATAACAAACAGGAATATGTTCAATGTTATCGCCATGTTCATTACGAGCCATTGCTGGTGGTGGTCTTCGAAAACCTATATATAAACAAACGTATTATTTAATGTATTTTAAATAGAAAAATTAAAAAAAACACAATTTACGTTCATCAACATTATGCGATGGTGATACTGATGGTTTTGATCGAAATAATGGTAAAAAGACTCGTGGTACTAATACTGCAAAACATCCGAATACAATAGCAAAAACAACACTTGGTCGAGTTAAAAGAGACATTATACAATGGAATAGAGAATCTTTGTTAAAATGATTAGCGTACTGTTTTATGAAATCGACATTGAATTGGGAGGAAGGAGGAGTTGCTACTCTATTATTTTTTTTACATCTATTCGATTGGACATGATAATAAGCGAATATTGTTAATCATAATATTGCAATCATAGATGTCGTCTATTGTCAATAAGTGAAAATAAACACGAAGTATCATCATGTGATCTTCGGTACGAGGTCGTCATAAGCATGAATTTAAAAAGCTTATGAAGAAAGTTTCTCCAATAGATTAATCATTTTTGAGTCGAGACTATGTGTATCATATGAAAAACAATCGAGACTTATTGAGTTTATATAAACCAACAAATCTATTTGAATTTATCTTTTAATAGCATATAATACATTTTAACTGTACCAAAAGAAAGCTAAATTACAGAAGAGTTAGCCATCATTCTGAGTGTTGTTCTTGTCCTTATTCTCAACTAATCACTTGTTCTCGGTCTAATCTCTTCCGTCTGATGATAAAACATATGCCGAGATTTTATAGAAAAATATTGGAACTGCTAAGATGCTGCAACACTACGGTGTTATTGAATGTAATATCTTGGCCCCTCTCAAGAATATTAGGAAATTGATTTTTTTTTTATTCTGACTTGAAACTTTACACATAGTTTATTGCAAAAATTTCGGACTGTTTTTTGTTGTTTCTATTTTAAAATATGACTGTATGAAAAGCATATTTTTTTTTAATATATATAGCTGATGTACACCAACACAATCAATGTTTTTATATTTGGATAGGATCAAATTCAAAGGCCTGCAAATTTTATACTAAACTTTTTTTTATTCATTTATCTTAGTGATCTTGAGGAGAAGACACTACTAAGTTAAACAACATTGTATTGATGCACTATCTCTGCAACAATAAGTTAAGAGATTGAACTCTGTTCAGAGTATTGGCGGCTTATTATGGTCAACGTGTTACACATAATCTTGATTGAAAAATGATTAATCAGTTGAAGAGCTTTCCTCGTTTGTTCAGTATTGATTTAATAGTCAACACGATACCATAAAACTTTCTGTCGTTAATGTCATTAAAATTTACTACAGCAGTCAAATAGCTCGAACTCAATAATCAACAGTTAGCTCATATTATTATTGCTATCTAGTAATAACCCTATGTCAAATATTCTACTTGAATTGAAAGAATAAATTATATGTAATATTAAATGTCATGAAGTGCTCTACAAATATCTATAAACAAGTTTATATTGAAATGCTCTGGTGATTTTTCTCATAATCAAAATGAACAACCTACATGATTACCCTACTTCTGAATGTGTAGTGAGCATAACAAAAAAGGAAATATTTCAAAGACTTTTTTGTTTTGTTATAGAAGTTTATGAATATAGCTTTTGTAGAGTTTTCGATAGAACTTTTTTTTTAAAAACAAATTTCAAGACTTTACTGTTTTCCTAAGACAAAATATATGCAAAATCAAAGTCATAACAAACATTTTAGAACAGTCAATAATTAATAATCTACGTCTTTATTTCAAGCAAATAGCCTTTTTTAATTATTAATGAGAAAATTTTGTCTGAAAATTTGTAAATTTAATGTAACGTATCGATATTAATTTCATGAATATTTCAATCAATGAGAATAAATACGACGTAATTATTCATCGATAAAAATCGTCGAAATTTATTAAACATTTCAAAGAAAAGTGATAAAAATGCTATCGAATATACTCTATAGAATTATTTCCTGGAAGTAGATCAAGTTAATGTACTTTCATAAGAACAAATTCTCTCATATAATGAGGAATAAAACATTTAACATCCATATATTGTTCTTGTTTATTTTTATTATGGAATATGAAAATAAAATGATTTCTTTCTCATATAATACAATTAATCATTGAAGTGATTTTTGGACTTCATCTTCTAAGACCTGTTAACTTAGATAAGTCACATTTCTTTTTATTGACTTGTATTTTTTTTTCTAGTTAATATTATCATTGATATTGTGATACGAATAGCATATATTGAATCATAGATTTTTCTATCTTTCATGATTAATCTGCTTCAAAAATGCGATTAAACACGTACGAGAAAATCGTTTCAAGTGGTCAAACAGCTTTTTAATGAAAGCTTTTGCATAGTAGGTTATCGATAATGCTACTTTCGAATAATAACATAAAAAATTTCCTGAGATTTTCCAGAGTAACAAAAAATTTTGAAAAAAATCATTTTAAATCTATTCAGATTAAATAATATATCAGTTTGTCTTGGAAACAGTAAATTTATTCTGTTTTCCAGTATGTTCTTTTTTCTTTGAAGTAAATGCAGTCATATAAATTTACATAACAGATGAATATTAACGTTTTCATGTGGAAATTCTTAACATGATATTGTTTTGCTTAATGCTTATTTTTAGAAAACGGAAACGATTATTATCTTATTGATAACTTCATATGCTCTTTAATCTGAGTAAATCCGAAATGATTTTGGAGAAAATATTTAACTAGTGCAGAAAATCGACGAGAATTTCTTATGTTTATATTTGGAATCAACATGATTGATGATCTACAAGTAAATTATTTTTGGTGAGAAAACGATTGATCAGTGAAAGTGGTTACTTCATTGGGAATTCGTTTTTAGCGTTGAATGTTTACTCATAAAAAAAGATAAGTGTATTTAAGCTTATACACTTTATTGCTGTACGAATAAATTTTATTATGTGTACGATATAAAGAATATGCCTCAAGATACTTTTTGACATTTCCTAATCTATTCATTATATATGTCGGAGTTTCGTTATGCAATAACCCATTCAATTTCTTTTGTTCATAATTGGAAGCAATGTCTAGAAAAAGAACTTCATCTTAGTATATGATTTGTTCTAGAAACATTTGTTAGTAACGTTGCGCTTTTTTTAATCAATCATCAGTCAGTTAAATGAATGAATTATTTTTCAAATTTTAGAAATAATCAAAACTCATAACATTCAAAGAAAAGAAAGAAAAAAAAGGAAATCATTTTTTATCAATATATGCAAATTGATCAAAGAAATACGATCCTTGTAGTTTGTGCTTGTATTGATTGATGAGTCGTCGGGCAGAAAAAAAGAAGACAGAGAGAGATAGATTTTCATATCAGCGTTTCATATAATACAGACAATAGTTTCCAAGAAGGATTTTACTTCGTTAATAAGTCACGTAAGCAAGTGATTGGTTAAGACATTTGACCTAGTAAAAAAAACAACTTTATTATCTTCAACGCATATGTCTTTTCATTTTGTCATGTCAAGTGTCAGAGAATAGAACTAGAATAGGCAAATTAATTAAATTTATAGGACACCATATCAACACAGGTGACTTTAATAATGACGAGTAAAATGAAGATTCAGGAACAAAAGTAAGGAAATATTTTGACGCATTCGCAAACAAATGTTACATGCGAGATAATAAAACACTACAAATAACTGTGAATTTAATATTCTTACGCTAATTAAATATCCAAACTCTATCGTGCTTGTTAATATACTGCCCATAAAATGTCATTTGAAAACAAAAAAACACCTTATTAAAATAAATTTTTATAACGAATCTTATATTAGTGTTTTGGGGAGTATTTTTATTAATTTATTCTATCTAGAAAAAAAAAAACATCATAGACATAATATAGAAATTTAGTTCGAGTAAAATGTTCATCTTTTCATAATAAAATTATTTCTCTTGTTCAGAATCTGATGATGACGATGACGATGATGATGATTTCCAATCTTTTGTATCATCCACTATATATAGATATATATATATACATACAATATAATATTTTAAATAGAAAATATTTAAAAATTTAGGTAACATACTTGCAATAGCTTGATCATTAACACCTTTTTTTATTCCATAATGTTTAAGTGTATGTTTCCCTTTAAGTACTTTATTACGAAAAATTAAACGACATCCTCCATCAAATCTTGGTTTTAATCGTCGTTTTAATTCATGTTTTAAATCATGTATACGAGTTTTTTCATCCAATACAAAAGTCATCGATTGTCCATCAGATTTTCGTACAACTGTCAAACTTACTTGATCTGTTGATCGATTTAAGATTGGTTCAGCTGATGAAAACATTCCGAATGTTACTAGCTCTTTGTTTTTATTTTGTAACAAGTTTGAATATGAATAACGTTGATGAAGTGAAAAAGAAAGAAAAAAAACCGCTATCTTCTTCTTCTTCTTTTTTTCCCATGAGAGAAAAAGAAAAGAACGATTTCATGAAGACGTATGAGAAATGATGGTTACATATTTTATGTTTGAACCGAAGTATTGAATGAGCTAACATCATGCAAAATAGGAAAAAAAGAGAGAAAGAGAAAGAGAGAGAGAGAGAGAACAGAATACAAGACACTATTCTAAATAGATTCAATGATTTTAGAACATTATTAGGTACGAATAGAATAGTTGATTCAAGAGAAAATTGATTTTAACGAAAAAGAAAATTCGAATTTTTTTTCTTTTTTGCCTTTTTTAATTTTATTAAAATATGATGATTAGTAGATATAAATTTTAGAAATCAAAGAAAAGAAAATAATAATCAATATCAGTATGAAATCAAATTGTAAATAGAAATTTGAATAATGATAATCTCATAAAATAATAAATCACTATTTTCTACATCAACGAGAAAATCATGAAATAAAACATCATCACCATATGTTTCATATAAAAGTTTTCAAAATGACCAAGTTCAATGATTTCGACAGTCGGAGCTCTGAATTTCCGGCCGGAATCGATCGTACTTCAATCATGTGGAAAATTACAGCATTAAGACTCATAAATTAATGGAGAAAAAACTAGAAAAACTTCAAAATTTATTTTGAAATGATTTAGCATGTATGTTGATGCTTTTTTTTAACATGCTTCAGCAGATAAATAAAAAGAAAGAAAATTAAGAACTTATTTCTATGCTTCAGAAGTGAAAAATAATAAACTAGTGCCTCGTCGTCTATAGTTAAATATTGACAGCATATTGTGTATTACTCAATTATTCAATACAAAAAAGAAATACATTATGTTTTCTATTTAATATTCATAAACACAAAAAAAAGTAGTTTAAATTAGTTATTTTCTTTTTCTTTTGTGTGTAAATCAAAGACCTGGAATTTGCTTATTTCTGAATGCTTCAAAAAAAAGATGATGATCACGACGTACTAACTTGCCATAGATCTAAATAAAATAATCAAATAACTATTCAAATACAATTGTCATTACCATTCCAAATTCAATCATATCTTGGATAAATTCATTATCTCGTCTATCAATAGCATTCCGAATTGTTTGTTCTGTATCTTGTGGAATGATTGAAAATGGCAAACAAGCTATATCTTTCGGAGTATTAACACAATCTGAATCAGCTACACAATGAATTTTTGCTTTGAAAGAAAAAAACAAACAATATACAATTAAATTTCTAAACTATTATATTCAAAGAATAAATTCTACCCATTGCTCTTCCTAAGTATTGAACAACTTCAATCACATCATCAAAGTCATTTATATCCGACCAATCAAGATCTTTAGAATGGGCTGTTACAGCATCAACTATGCATGGTGTAGAATTCAATGTTGTATAGCCTAACCATCTTGGTGTTGATGCTTGCATTGCATATGAACATAAAACAGTTCTTAAACCATCATGTTGAAAATATTTTTCAAAATTTTCATTTTTAACAACATATGAAACAGCTGATTTTTGTGCTGGTTTCATATAAAGAATAATATCATTTTCTAATGTTTCAGTTTGACCTTCAATTAAAAATGAATAAGAAATTTTTCCAGCTGAACCAATACCAGGTGTGAAACATTGAACAATATCTTTAATCTTATATGTTAATTCTTTATTCTCAAAATTTTGATTCCAATATTTTTTATTATCTGGAATTGTTTCTAAATATTGTTGAAATGCCTTTATTAATTGTTCATGTAAAATATTATCAACGTTAAGAATATATTTTGACCGAATAAACTTTCTATTATAATTTTCAATAAATGTCATTTTATTTAAATGTTCAACATGTGATTTAATACGTGTTTCATTTAGTAATTTATTTATTTTTCCTGAAGTATTTTTTAATGTTAAAGCAAAATTATCTTTTGGTTGTTTACAAAAATTATAAATCTGTTTTAAATATTCTTCAATACAAACAGTTAAAATTCTTTCAATATCATCATCAGAAAAACCTTTTGAATAACATATTAAATTGATTGAAGCACATAAACGTTTAATATCCCATGTAAATGGACCAATATAACTTTCATCAAAATCATTAACATCAAAATTTAGAATACCATTATTATTTAAATATGTACCAAAATTTTCAGCATGTAAATCACCCTACAATAAACAATATTTATCTTTTAACTTTTTTTTATAGTTCATTTTTTTAAAATATTTACATGAATAAATATTTGTCCAGCAGCATTCTTTTTTAATATAAATGGATCCTTATCAATTTTTAAATCTTGATAAAAAAGTATTGCGGAACCACGATAGAAATTAAATGGTGTAGCAGCCATTTTACGAAATCGAGTACGAAATGCATCTGGATTATCGCGTATTCCATCTTTGAAACAATCTATAAATGTATCTATTATAAATTTAGAACGTTCTTCATTTGTTTGTGATTGAATACGATAAATAGCTTTGTTAGATGCATTTATATTGTATGATAAATGATTTAAACGAGATGAATTATTGATGTTTGCCATGTGAAAGAAGAAAATTTGATATTATTCTGTAAAAGACCTTTTTTTTCTTTTTTTAGAAGTTATTTTTAGAACAAAGAACACTTATAATTGCTAGATAACGATTTCTTTTCGCTTTTTTTGTTCTTATCAATTTTATGAGTTTATGAAGCAACCAAATATTAAAAAAAATGATTTGGGTTGAATAATAATAATAATATGAAGTGTTTTTGGTGATAAAAAAAAAAAAAATTTAAACAAGATTATAATCAGAGATGGACAGCTCCGACTCCGGAGCGACCGCTCCACGGAGCTAGCTCCGCTCCCGGAGCGGAGCTGGAGCGGAGCGTGAGTATGAATTTTTCCATTGGAGCGGAGTCGGAGCGGAGCGACTGAGCGGATGCTCGGAGCTGAAGCTGAGCTGGAGCGATAAAATGTCAGATAGATATTACGAATTGTGCCTTTTCCTCTTCCATTTGCATCTTTTACAACGGAAACTGAGTGTTATTAATGAATACAAAAAGTGGTCACTGAAGGAGGCAAAAAAACCAAAGTTTTCTAATGAAACAATGACTTTTTATTTCTGTTGGAGCGGAGCTGGAGTGGAGCGATCGAGCGAGTGTCTGGAGCTGGAACTGAGCTGGAGCGGAAGATACTCTGGTTGGAGCGGAGTCGAAGCGGAGCGGCAAGAAAATGTTTGGAGCTAGAGCTGAGCTGGAGCGAGGAAAAGCCGGAGCTGCCCATCTCTGATTATAATCATCAATATGAATGATTTAAAGAAGAAAAAAAAACTTGTTAGGGCAATCTCTTCTCGATTAAAATGTAAAACATGATATGACTGCTCTTGCTAATCACAGGATATTGCATTATTCTATTTATTTTCAGACACATTTCTTTACCATCCTTTTACTTACTTCTCCTTGAAATATAATAAGAAAGTAGTTTATATATTTTAATGAGACATCAATCTGTGATGTTATATTGACAACGCCTGTCACTATCGTCAATACAAGAGGAAGTGTTGCTAAAACGCTTTTCAAGATCTAGAAGAGACTCAAATTTGTACTTCTATACTTCAACATTTCTTCTTGATAGCATTTTACAACTAAGTCAGACCAGTTTTTCTAGGTTTTAAACACAATAATTGTATTTTCCGTTCTAGTGGAACTTGAAATGTATCTAACAATTGTTGAAGAGGATAGCTTCTACCAGAGATGGCATTGACTCAATTTAAATTTTGAACAATCTGAATCAATCTTATTTCTAATTAACATATTGAATAGAGATCATAAGAGTAACCATCTATCATTTACATATTCGATCAAAACAAAACCGATCAGAAATATAATCTTATACGAAAGTTATGTCGCTTGTTTTTGACAACGGAGGGAAATTATGGGTTATAATGTCTGTTATTTTCTTTCTATTTAAGTATTTGATAGAAAAGCTTGTTATCCTTTTTCATATTGTTTAAATAGTCTGTCTATATGAATAGAGCTATATTCATTAATGCTTTGATAATTTAGTCATAGGATTCAAATGTTTAAGATTTCGATTTTCAAAGCCAATGTATATTTGTGACTATGTGTCAGATAGATTCATTGATAAGACCAATTTTGAAGATAAAAGCTTTAAAATGTAAGTGAATCAAGGAATTTTACCAAAATAGAAATGCTATGTTTCTTATAATATCCTGAAACTCTAATCCGACATGAGTGTTTCTTCTCTTTCAATTTCTTAAGAACAATCTATCGATTTTGATTTAGCTTGCTGGATATTGCAAAGATTCTTAAATCTATTTCTAGTAACTCTTACCTTTGGCTTGCATATCTTTCATTCGATTCTGTGATTGACTAAAACTACAGTAAAATAATCATAACTCCAAATAAACGATTTAATGGCACATATCTTCGTAGGACTTTTATCTCTACAATAGATCTTATCAATCAGTAACCTAGGAGCTTGAAAAGAAAGCATCAATTGACGGTTTTTCCACCTTAGTTTCATTCGACCACGCATAGACCAAAACATTTTGACCTCCGTAGTAAATTGTTTCTTCTTCTTCTTGCCTATTTAAAGTAGTCTAAAACATTCAAAATTCAATATTTCTTCTATTACAACTAGATGAATATTATTTTCAATTTCAATATTCGTAGCATTGCTGATAAGAAAGATTTATTAGAAAATATATCTTAGAGAAGAATATTTCCTTTTCTTCGAAGATTATTATAAAAATTGTTTATTCAAAATCAATGTCTAGAATACGAATCAATCTAATCAAAACGTTGAAAAACAAAAATTCAATTGAAAGAAAATCTTAAAAACAATGAAATTTTCATAAAAATTTAGTTGAAAATCAACCATAGATACTTTTTATAGAGTGAATGAAAGTTCAAAATGATATTGTAAATGCATATGTATATATAGATATATCGTAGACCATCAAGTTCACCTTGCAATACGACTTTCTTACTCTTTTTTGTTTTCTCGCTTTCACAAAAAACTTTGCTGTTGTTCATTTTTGCAACATTAAGAAAAAATTTCTCTAAAATGCTTCCTCAAATAACTTGTAATTTACGTTAGAGACTCGGACATTGAAGACAATATTTATCTGGTCTGAATAAACTCAA